ATATATATCAGTCGAGAAAAGGAATACAATAACAAGATAATGAAAATAATAATACTAGAATATAAATATGATGACCATATAACATCATGCATAATTTAATAAGTATGTACTATCATATACAATAAGAATAGCTCAATGAAAAAACAATGTAAGGAATGCATTTTGAATAATATAATTTGTGTTCGAAAAACAAGGGCAAGAAATTTGCCAAGACCTAGTACAAAAAACAATAGATATAGTACATTTTTAATATATATAGTGAAGACAAATTTATGTTAATGTGCATTCATTTAATATAGAGTTTCCCATTGATATAAAGATTTCCATTTCTAAACAATGGTCGTTTTCCTTCTTTGAAAGCTTTGGACATTACATCTTTAAGTTCGTTCTTTTTCTGTATGTCAGCAGCCGGCAAATCCTCCATAACGTAAAAAGTTTTTACCTTCATGGCCTTGGCTTTGCGGATCACGATGGTTCTTTGTGTCCTGAAGACGAATTTCACGATGATGTGTCTTGGGCGTTGAATCTCACCTTTCTTTATTTTACCGGTTCGGTGTGCATTTTCAATCGTTATCTCATCTAAATTAAGGTCATGTTTTAATATATCCAGAACAAGTTGCTTTGGATCTTCGCTTTCTCTCTCTTCAATTCCTCCAAATCGGAGATTATAGCTTCTAGAATGTCTTTCCATTCGCAGCATTTCAGCTTCAATGTTCACCATTTTATCTTGCTTAGATTTCAGGTCAGTTTCCATTTCTTTGAAATTCTTAAGTAAGTTATCCGTTGCAGTTTTAAGTTCATCGTAGGTTTTACTGTGAAATTCAAGCGAATCTTCCATGACTGATTGCCTTTTTTCAATCACATCAATTCTATTTAATAGTGCATGCTGGCCTTGTTTAAGCGATGCTATTCCCTCATTAATGTCAGCTGCAAAGCTACGTAGTTCGTCACGCAAGGCATTTAGTGACGTATCCACAGGTATGGCGGGTGTTCATAGTTGTAAAATATCAAATATCATACATTCAATATAATGATAACTTACAAATCGCTATAAATATCGTCTAGGTTGGGAAATTATTTAAGTAATTTCACGGAGCTATTAGGAGTAGGTCTTCACTCGACGAAGTCCATGGTGATTCTACGGGTAGAGCTTGCATCACATCTATGTCGTTCGAAACCACCTTATGCAATCTTAGTTTGGCAGTGGCTAGCATAGCTTGTGTATTGCGTAAAAGACTGATAGCTTCTTCAGAAGTGGCTACAGACCGTAGGCCATCGTCGACGTAAAAGTCGTTGAAAACAAAGTTTCTGCAGGTAAGTCCAAAAACCCCCTTTTTGTCTTCGGCTGTTTTTCGCAATCCAAAAGTTGCCACTGCAGGACTGGGACCATTTCCAAATAGGTGAACTCCCATTCTGTACTCGATTATGTTTTTGGCTGGATCGTTGTTTTTATACCAAAAGAATCGCAAAAAGTCCCGATGTGCCGGAGTGACGTGGAACGAGTGAAACATTTGCTCAATATCCGCCATAACCGCTATTCTTTCTTGGCGAAATCGCATTACAATCCCCAAAAGAGAATTCATTTGATCTGATCCCGTCAACAGTTGTTGGTTCAGTGAAATTCCTTCGGAGGCGACCTAGAACTTGGTCGCGGTTATCGGGCATCTGTGGTATGCCATGTCGAAATGGGAGAGGCATCTCCCAATGGCCGGAGTCGTCTTTATGTATGTTCTGTTCCATGATAGTGATGAATCGTCGGTCTTCTATAGAAAAGCCGGGATCGTTATCGTTCCTAGCGCAAGCAAAAACGTCAAACTTGCTGCCTGAGAAACTTTCTTTTATGTTAATGGTATTGGGACACATCGAGATAGCAGGTGGGTCAGACTGGTCAACACTGGTACGATGAACCGCGACGTGGATACGTCCACCAACCCTGTCGATGCAAACTTGGCCTGATATGGTCCATCCGAGATCCAGTCTTTGAGCCCAAGGTGCTCCTGATGGGCCGTTTCTGAACTCCCTAATTTTTAACAGGTCACCAGCATCCCTGCCTAGAAGGATTTGTATGGGAACATCTTCACGGGGATGAGGAATTTGGTCGGCAATATCTACAAGGTGAGCGTAGTGTGAAGCGATTTCTGGTGTTGGGATTTCCGTCCGATCGTCGGGGATACTATTGCATTCTATTAGTGTTGGTAGTTTCATAATATTACCATCCTCAGGCCCGTAGCCAGGTCATTTCAAGGGGGGGTTCTCTGGGCGTGGGGTCCAGAGGTGGCACCAGGATTTGCCCGGGGGGAGGGGCGCACAGTGGGCCAGAATTGTTTCAAAGTGTGCCAAAAGTCAATACTCATAAGAAAATACTGATTATGTTCATGTTAAGACTGTTTAAGGGGTTTTCAAGCCTGCTGAATTCAATTAAACTATTTTTAATTACGTATGACGTCATCAAATTACTGTTTTTTGATTGGATGAGTAAAATATTCATTGTAATACCTAGGCAGATTCATATTACCTTGGTTATTAGAACATATAAGGGTTTTCTAACCTGTAGATTTCAACGCAAGCATATTTAAATATGTATGACGTCATTAAAGTATTTTTTTTATTGGACGACGTAAAATTTAAGATCTAGACAGAATAACTTGCCAGAGCTCAGTATGAGACGAATGAGGGTTTCTAGACCGGCAAATTCAAATTAGAACATTTTACACTTTATGTGACATTAAAATACATTTCTTCAAAGAAAAGGGTGGGAGGTAGAGTGTTAAGAAGACACCTGCAGTACCCCCTTAGTCCGCGTCCACCCCATTAGTCAGCCCTCACCAGTGAAAATAAGCACAAAAGATCACGGTCAAACAGACTGAATTTACCTAATATCGCTATAATTTGCTTGAGCAATAATTGTTGTATTTGAATGGATGCTAAATAAATAAATTAAAAAAAAGAAATTAAATGAGCGGTCCCACTTCATCGGGCATTTACCCCCATCCCATCACTCACCTTGGGATGCCCTTATCATCTCCAGAGGCAATTTGGCTTCAGATTTAGGATGGAGTCAAAATGTTTTAAAAAAAAAATAAATAAAAAAATAAAAACAGAAGAGAAAGTCTCGGATAAAAAATTATTCCTAGAATAATTGACCTCAAAATGAAAGGGGGTCGAGGTCCTCCCCGGAAAAATGTTGTTTCCTAAATGGCGAGAAATGAGATTTCCCGACTTTTGAGGTGTATTTTAATGACATTTAATTTTTATAAAGTTCAAGATTTTCCCTCCCTTGAAAACAGTCATGTCAACTTTGTCATTCTTATTACAGTAAACAGGCCTATGTGTGTATTAAAAAAATGAGTAGTTGCATACGTAGGCCTATTTTGTTTTCCATGAACCGATGAACCCCAAATAGGACGGTGTGGGAAAATGTTGATTCCTATATGTCGGAAAACGGGTTTTCTCAACTTCCGAAATTTTAGTTTCCCTCTCTTGAAGTTTTTTAATGAATCGATGAAACCTAAAGAGGAACCGGGGGAGAGGCGCGGAATCATGTTAGCCCCTGGAAAATTTTGATTCCTAGATTGCGGGAAGTGAGCTTTTCAGACTTGTATAATTAATGACCTTTAATAAAAACAAAATCAAGGTTTACCCTATTGAAAACGGTCAGGTAAATTTTCTGATTTTTAATACAGTAAAGAGGCCTATTGTGTGTGTAGAGGTATAAATATGATTAATTGCTTATGTATTCTTTTTTTTTCTTTTCTTTATTTTTTTTTTGAAACGGGGTCATCCAACATCAACATTTTGATTGAGCATTTCCGACATTTAATTGTCCAATTGTAACACAAAATTCAATAATCAGCTTACGGGTCCTGGAAAAGTACCGTAAGTCTAGAATTATTTTTTAAATATTTATTTATTTAATGTTTTTGTCCAAGGGGTTGTGGTCAGTACCCTGACCCCTCCAGATCCACCAATGATCTCCCTCCCCGATTCACTCCTAGATATGACACTGGAAATCGAGTGTACTTGTTTTTACATTTGGCACCCAATGGCTGCAGGAATGATTTTATCGTATACCTTAATTAAAAAACGGCGCTTTTGTGTGGGGGGGGGGTATATTAAATCGCTTGCTAAATGCAGGGTGGCAGATATTGGCAGCTAAACTTGGCATAAACGTAAAGCTTAGACTCTGCCTGAAATGTTGATATCAAAATCATGACGAAAATCGCCGGCAATTTTAACTTTTAGGTTGGTTTTATAAAAAAAAATGTTTTTAAGCGTTTTTGGCTCATATTTAGTGTCCTTTATTCTAAAAATATACCAATAATGTCATTTTTTGTTTTACTATCTAATTTAGTTAACAATAGGTAAATACTGCAAGAAGTATCAAGTTGACTGCTTTCATCTAAGTAAAGTCATAGGGAGTTTTTCAAAACTGTCAATTTTATCATTTTACGAGTAAAATACAACTTTTTCATG